CAGGGGCGGTAAGAAGGAACTGAGGGGGGCGCCGGGTCGGCTGGGGTATATATTCAGCGCCATGAAGGCGCCACTCTAGGGGGCTCCACAGCCGACCCGCCGGTGTTGCTAGGGTAAAAATCTTCCGACGATCGTGCACGCGGCGCGCACACACCTAATGGAATGGATATGAGCAAGCACTCGAAGAAGAATCAAAAACAGGGAAGTTTCTACTCTCTTCCTGACATGTGGTCTAAATACTGAACCCTAGATTCATCTTGGAGTCCTGGAAAAGGGGCTCAAAAAAGCCCAGATGGCCCAGAATGACCCAGGACGTCTTGTGATAGCCTGGCACCAATACTGGTGAACTTCTCCTTCGTCTTTTTAGGAATATTATAATCCATCTGATATGCCAGGGTTTAATTGACAGGTGGCACTTGCAGATGTATGTTACTCTAATCTGATACCCGTTTCCTGTTATGTCCAGTGCAGAATGCATCAGAGCTGGGTGAGCGTTTGTGGATGTAACAGAAGTGGAATTTGAATGAGAAATGAGAGCCTGGTGCAATGAGTTTGAGGGAATGGCCTGAAAGAAAGCAGGAAGATAGGCGTGTGAGAAGGAAATGCACAGGATGGTGAAGCTGGCAATACAATGGCTGACCACAGGGAATGATAGTTACTGCTCCTCTTTTTTTTTGTCCTTTATTCTCCGCTGTAATAAAACCCTGATCAGAAGTACTTTGTGTGGTAGCAGAAGTTGTAATATGTTACACCACAGGAGATCTATTTAAATATGTTTGAGCACCTACTTCCAAATATAATTTTCAACTCAGCACCTTCTCCACTGACTGCTGATAAAATCATATTTCCTGTGAGTCTCTTGTTCTTTAAAGCTGTATGTTGCTGTTTAAAAGACCTTGAGTGTTACAACTCAGTAAAAAAAGGACCATTCTAATTAGAGTGTCCTTTCCTGTCAAGAGATTTAGGGCTTGTTTCTAAAGGTGCTGAGCACCCAAATTCCAGCTGAATCAGTGGGAGATGCAAACACTCAGTGGTTCTGTAAATCAGATGCCTCGTGTGTGCAAAGCAGCCGGAGTTGGGGAAATCCCTCATTCCCCTTGGTGTAACTGACGGGGGCTCAAACATTGTCTCTCATTAGGACTAGAAGAGTTGGATGAAGTGTGAACAGTTATTCGTGAGCACTTTTGTCACACTTGCTACCCTTTCTGTTTGCTTTACCACAAACTTACACGAGGGCTTTAAGTATGTGAACATTCTGAATGATTGCTCTTCAGGTGAACACGGTGTTTTGACGAGGGCCGGCACCAGGCACCAGAGAAGGAAGCAGGTGCCCGGGGCGGCCAATAGAAAGGGGCGGCACTCTGTCCGGTATTGGGGCGGCACGTCCGGGTCTTCTGCAGCAATTCGGCGGCGGGTCCTTCACTCCCTCTCCTCCTCTTCGGCGGCAGCTCAATCGGGTTTTTCTTTTTTTCTTTGCCGCTTGGGGTGGCAAAAAAGCGGAGCCAGCCCTGGTTTTGACACAAAGCAAGGAACTCGCTCTTTGCACTGCAAGTGTTTACCCTATTTATACAGTTTCAGTTGACCAATCAGAGGGCAGCCACAACACCATGTGATTAAGGTGTCCATTCATACACCACAAACAACAACCAGAGAATAATCAAAGCAAACAGTTGGCAAACACCCCATAGGCTGAAATAAATTTGGATAACTACAAGTAACTAACCTACTCATCACAATCTGTTTGTGGATAATTTATGGACAGAAAAAGTGGTTGAGTTAATTGGATACATTTTTCACTAGGAATAATCCTCATGGCTATAATTACTAGGCAGGTGGTTTTGAATGATTTACAAGACATCGTAATTCAACTGACCTTGTTCTCTCCCTTTTTGAACAGGGGGTTCTGTGGAGCTGCTCCTGATGCTGTTGGGACTTGAGATTCACTTCACTGCTTGCTGCCCCATTGACTGTGTATGTTACCCATCACCTATGACTGTCAGCTGCCAAGCCCACAACTTTGCATCAATTCCAGAGGGGATACCAGAAAACAGCGAGAGGATTTTCCTCCAGAACAATCAGATCACATTGCTTCTGCGAGGTCACTTTAGTCCATCCATGGTCACCTTGTGGATCTATTCCAACAACATCACCTTCATAGACCCAGACACCTTTGATGGGTTTGTTAATCTAGAAGAGCTGGATTTGGGGGATAATCGCTATTTAAGGGCTTTAGCAGCTGAGACCTTCCAAGGGCTGGTGAAGCTCCATGCCTTGTACCTGTACAAATGTGGGTTGAGCTCTTTACCCAGTGGGATATTTGGTGGCCTCCACAATCTACAATATCTTTATCTTCAAGATAACCACATAGAGTTCCTTCAGGATGATATTTTTGTTGACCTGGTCAACCTCAGCCATCTTTTTCTCCATGGAAACAAGCTGTGGAGCCTTCATCAGAACACATTTAGGGGACTAATAAACTTGGATAGGTTACTCATCCATCAAAATCAACTCCAGTGGGTCCACAGACGTGCTTTTCACGATCTCCGAAGATTGACCACCCTTTTTCTGTTCAATAACAGCCTCTCTGAGCTCCAGGGGGAATGCCTCGCCCACTTGGGAGCCCTGGAGTTTCTCAGGCTGAATGGCAACCCTTGGAGCTGTGACTGCAAATCCAGGTCACTCTGGGATTGGTTGCGCAGATTCAGAGGTTCAAGTTCCAGTGTGATCTGTGAGTCTCCTGAGCAGATGCATGGCAAGGACTTAAAGGTGCTAAAAGCAGAGGATTACAGGAACTGTTCTGGGTCTGAGTCCCTCCATCAGATCAAAACACACACTTTCTCCACAGCAGACAGAGGAGCCTCCAAAGACCACCACCCACACCACTCCTCCAAGGAGAAGGGTAAAGAGAGAGGGGTCGAGCACAGTTTACACAGCAGTCAACCAGCAGCACCTCCCGGTTCACGTCCAGGTTACAGAAAGCCCAGCAAGAACTGCACCAGCCACAAAAGCCGCAACCGAACCTCTAAGCCAGTGTCTCTGGGGCCACGGAAAAGCATTCATGAGGCTCAGGACTATGTGCCTGACTACCAGCACAAATTCAGCTTTGGCATGATGCCTACAGCACCACCCAAGCGGAAGGGTAAGTGCACCCGGCGGACACCCATCAGACCCCCCAGTGGAGTACAGCAGGCAGCTGGGAGCTCGCTGATCAGGGCCTCTCGGCTAGTTTTTATAATGGTTTTAGTGGTCATAATACGCTGAGCTGGCTGTGACTGATAGTGTCTGTACTGCCACCAATCTACAAAGGACCAGAGTTTCTTTTCTTCTTCTTTTTTCGTACATGGAGGATTTGGCCTTGTGAAGGAAAGAATGTTGTTTAGGCTTTTGATGGTCTCCATACATGGACGAGTGGATTATAAACATGAACTGTACAGAATGCGCACAGCAGGAGTGGATTAAAGGCATTATCACATGCTTGTCACAAACAGCCCCAACTGAGCACCTACAGAAAAGCCAACATAACGAAAAAGGAGCTAAGCCTTCATTAATAACAACTGGACAAACATGGACAGTAGCTGTGCTCTATGTGAAATCCTGTTAATTTGAGAGAGCTCTGAAAGACCCTGTGATTACTGAAGGGAACATAATTGCTGTAAAAATGATCACCAATTAAGCCTACACCATCTATCTGAAACGGTGTGCAAAGACACTTACAAAATGTATAATAAGGACATTGGTTCTCCCACATTTTAGCCCTTTTGGCTCCAAATCCCACAGGCCAAAGCTGGCCAGAATCCTCTTAGAAGACAATCTCAAATCCCTGTATATCTCAGGCACACAGCAGAACAGGGCTTGCCTGCTAGGCTAGGAGTAGCCAACTACCAAAGGAAAGACTGATTAGAGGTGGATATTAAAACAAACGAAATGAGATTCCTACAGAAGGTGCGTTTTTTGTAACTGTGTTCACATATAAAATAAACAAATGCACAGGTTCCTTTCCCCTCAATTATCCATATGTATGTCTTATAATGTTTATAAACTATATGGAAACTATATCTTCAGATGTAAGGATTGTATTGTTGAATTTATAGCAGAAGAACAGTATATGGTTTTCTCTAGAAAACAATTGGCAGCAGTGCCTACAGATGCCGGGTAGCCATCCATCAGGCTCAGCGAGTGCCGGGGGAACCACAGTGGACCAATGTTCTTAGCAACTTAGAGCACTAGATTTTGGGGGATTTTTTGTATGCGATGTAACAAAGTCAATATCTGAAGAGCCAAAACTCACTCTTATGACCTAATTTCTAACCTGTCACATGCCAGGAAGAAAGGGATTAATTAGAAGTGTTCAGACCAAACATACACAGCTATAGAGCTCTGTCTCCTAGATAGCATCGTGAGGCCAGGGCAGACGTTTCTAGCAAGAGCGAGAAGCAGTTCCCAACAGTGTTAGCCGTGTGAGGACCTTTATAGCTGGTCTAAGGTTTTCACTCAAGTGGTGGAGTAGTGCAGGGACTCCAGGGATAGTCCTGACAGCCTGGGAAGTGGAAGATCTCATGGGAGACTCAGAAAGGGGCTGCAAACGATTAACTGGGAATCTGATAAGCGCCTGTAAGGAACAGAGTGCCCAGGACTTTCATCCATGATAGAAAAAAATGTATAAGGCTGCCATACAAAGGGAGTTGTGGAAGGCAGGGGTAGAAGAAGCAGGTCTGCCTGCCCATCTAACCTCTATCCTGACCCACTGGCAGTAATCCTGAAGCTGGAGTGCTGGGGAAGGGGGTCGTGTGTTCTGGTCTGGTTCAGGCTGGTGTATGGTGGAGATGGTAGTGTTATTGACCAGAGATGATGTCTAGATGTAACACAAACAGTACACATTAGTTCCCTGTCAGAGTGGATATGTGAGAAGAAAAACACTGAAGTTAATGAAAAGAGGGAAATAAAATTATCTTGGACAAGCAAAGCCTGTTTTTCATTTCCTAACAATACTCCAGCTGCAGTGACACGTCTGGCCTGTAGCTGATGTTTGGAGCCAGACAACAGTGCTAAGGAAACGGCTCATTTTCTAGCATGTAACCAACTGGTTGAGCAAGGATGCGCTGACTCACTGAAACCTCAGGAAAATTCCTGTTCTCCAAATAATTAGCCTACTAGGGATAACTCATGTTCCCTATCTATCCTTCTGGGGGCATCTTACTGCAGGGTACACTCTTATGATCAGCCTGCCCTCCACCTGAGAGGTTTGGTGCCAGTGCAGGGGGGTTGGGAAGAGGGCTATTTAAACTTCAGTAGTGAGAACTTCCTATTAAATATAGCAGGCCCCTGTTGGGTAGAGATGTTCATAGAAGTCCCTGGAGCTGGAAAGAGAAACCCCCTTAATCAAATTGTTCTGGGGGCAAAAAATGTCTATGTAGTTTCAAGGATTCACCATTCAGTCCTGAAGTGAGGCATCTAGAGATGTAATACGAAACAAGTGCAGAGTCGCCTGCTTGCCTCACAAACTTGAAGAGGTACAGGAGCTGGGATGCCTTTCAAAGAGGGAGGGAGGGAGGGAGGGAGGGGGCTTGAGCATGTATTTTTCAGAACAAAGTTCCTGGGTAATGACAGGAACAGTCCCAGAAAGAGGGAAGAATAGATTACTCATCTAGTCCTCTCTGTTCCAGCTCCTATGCAAACTTTTCTGTCTACATGGCTCTAAACCTCCACTAAAGGGATGTCCAATGCAGCCAAAACAAATAATCTGTGATCTGAAATAGCTCCCTCACGTCCTACACTCTATAACCAATAGCAGCTGAATGTGTCTGGCACTGTCCCTTAGAAGTCTCAGACTGTTGTTATGTTGGTTATTTCATTTCATACTCTGGAAATCAAAGCTCTCAGTGGGAGAATGAAGAAGAGAAGCACTTTATTAATTTTTTTTTAAGTCTCCATGTAACTCCTATAATATAGGAGAGAAATGTCAGCACAGGAAATGCTAATGATTTATAAATGATTTGGGTGCAGCAGGCACCAAGGATTCTGAGATGAATTATATTAGAACAGACTATGCCTGGCCCCAAATCATACTTGTATTTTTAGTATCCTTTTCCTCTAAGATGTACATGTTGCCTCTAAAAGGCAACTCCATCGTGTATTACATCCTTTGTCAACCAAGTGATCTGACTCCTGGCAATCAAGGATGCTGTTCAAAAAACAAAACTAAGACATAAAAAAATCACTAGATAGGAAAAAACACTTTGTCCATTATGGCTTGTGGGATTCTCTCACCCTCCCTTTATTACTGTCTGCCTCTGTCCCCGCTCTTCCTCTACGGCCACATCTGCTTGAGCGTAAACTCATCTATAATGCTTGCTTCGATGTCTGTCCTCAGTGCCCCATTCCACATTCACTCCTCTGTGAGTGAGACAGTTCTGCCACAGCCCCTTGTTTGCTCTTTTGAGACAGTTCCCCACCCACCCAACTTCCATCCCTCGCCTATGTTAAGAGTTTGTATCTGGCTTCACATTATCAGACATCTTCATACACTGTGAAGGCTTCTGTGTCAGTGCAGCATCACCTCTTCCCCTGAAGAGCCACCACTACATCTCACAGTAGAGGGCTCTACAATCTAGCAGACAAAGGTGTAACAAGACCCAACAGCTGGAAGCTGAAGCCAGACAAGTTCAGGCTAGAAATAAGGCACACATTTTTTACAGTGAAGGTAATTAAACATTGGACCAATTTACCAAGGGACATAGTGAATTCTCCATTACTTGGAGAGTTTATATCAAGATGGGATGTCTCTTTCTGAAAGGTTTGCTCTGGCTCAACCAGAAGTCACAGGCTTGACACAGACTTACTAGGTGAAATGCTATGACCTGTGTTATACAGGCCAGACTAGATCATAATGCTCCCTCTATGAGTCTCTTCACTCATTCAACCAGGCCCCACCTAGGCCTTCCAGCCCCCATCTAAGAATGCGGGGGGGGGGAGGGGCTCAAGTCCCCTACCCTTGTGGTCCCAGTGGTTGAGAGGGAGAGGAGCGGGTCAGTCCTTGAGATAAGTGTCTTCTCAGGGCTCCAAGCAGATGATTGTGCTGCTCAGGCTTAGAACAGCCCCAACTTTCCTCATAATAGATAACCTGGTTCCCTGCTGCTGCCCCTTCAACAGGGCAAGAATATTGCCCCACTGGAACGATGAGTAGAACTGAGCACCAGCCCACACAGGGTACAATAGGAAGCTCACCTCTGGATCGGCATTCAGTCCTCTTGGTGCTGGATCTCAGAAGGCAGTTTGCCTACTCTGACCGCAGCCAGACTCTAGGCAAATAGCTTCGCGCAGTGGGACTGCGACCTCTAAATGCCTTCCTTGGGCAAAATTTAATATGTATTGCTTCTCCAGTTTGGTTTTACCATCTTCATAGTTTTCTATATTAAGCTGTGTTTTCTATTCACTGTGTTACTCACATGCAAGATCCAAATCCTTCCCAGTCTGGTTGCCTTGCTCCTCATTATTTGGTTGCTTCAGCAAACTTTAATATCTGAGCTTTGATTTTCTCATCCAAAACCTTTGCACAGAGTACATAAACAAGGAACCCCAAACAGATCCTAGATTACGCTTCTGGAAATTCATTCACAACTACAGAGTCCCATTTCCAGCCACATGCTGTTTTCTGAATTTGAGCCAATTTTCTAACAATTTTACTTCCTTCCCATGATTTTACCTTTTAGTCATAATCATTAGCATGGGAACTTATCATACACGCTTTGAAAACACAACATATGACACCCTCTGTTTCTCTCATCTTCCCAGGCAGGAATTCAAAGTACTCAAGGAAGAAAGTCAAGTCAAAAGAAACCCTTCTCCTCATCATCCCAAGCGGACATCAAATTAAACAGTTTCTAGTTTTTCCCTCATGGCTAATATGGGTCTTCTTAGCCAATAATTGCTTCATGCACTTTGTGGCCCCTTGTTTAAGATGAAAATTGTTGTGTCCAACTTTCTGGTCCTGAAGAATTAGACCTGCTCTGACAGGGATATCCACCCCCTGAAGAGGGCCCACTCAAGACCTATGCACCACTTAAGTCTCACTTAAGCCAACACAAGAAACTCTATGCTGTCAGAGTTCAGTCGTTCCTGACCTCTCTCTCTCTCTGCATCTGTGGTGTGCTTTCTGACACTGGCTTAGAGAACCTCAGCCATACACATGGGAATGTTTCCAAATATTATATTTTCCATTGCACTACCAAGAACTTTTCATTTTTTCTATAGTTTACTAACTACCCCAGGATTTTGTATGTTGATAGAATTTTTCCCCTTCGCTCAGCCTCCTTCTCCAGTTCAGATTATTCAGTGACACCATAATCCTAGGTATGGCATCACAATTGCTTCCATGTTGATGAATTTGGATATCATACACACTGGATTATGAAGATAGTGATTGGAATGGACAGGTTAAACAGAAGGTAGCTTTTGCCAGCCAAAAATATCTGGGCGATTAGTAACAACATGAAAAGGAGTGGAGACAACTCAGGAGTCTTTCATTGGGTTCTGATGAAAGACCACATTGTACATGAATTTAGTTCTCATAAAGGTGTCATATTGACAGCCATAGAGAACAACAACATCTCTTTATCCACACAACAGGTACAACATGAGCAACAGCAGTTCCAGATTCCCCCACACATCCTCTACCAATGCGTTCAGCCTTTCCCCATCCTGGAGAGACCACCCCTAAGGGCAAAAAGGACCTTCAGTCTCTGAGGCCGATTCCATCCGTGGCCTCTGACCCAGACTGCCAAAAGGGGGCCAGTTAGTCCCCACTGAAGCTGCATTCTTTGTAATGTAAACTCCTGGGAACTGGATTGAGATGCACCACACTCATTACACTTCGGAGTCACTAGAGTTTCCTGAGTTTGGCTGAGATTTTGAATGTGTCCAGTCATTCCATAACAATTTGCATATTTCTCTACATTCTCTTGAGCTTTTCCCTTACCTTATCAAGAAATCTGATCCCTGTCTCAGTCAGCTCCCCTTCCTCTTCTGTAAAAACAGAATCAAAATAACTGTTAAACGAATCAGCCATTACCTTCTCCCATGTCACCAATTCCCTGATATCATTTTGTAATGGACCAATTTTCTCTTTTACCTTCTGTCTGCTCTGAATACATCTCCAGAAGCTTTGACTATGCATGAAAATATCCTCTCCAATTCACTACTTGATATCTCTTTCTGCTCCTCTAATTGCCCTTTTAACTTGCTTCTAAATTTTTGTACAAATCTCCCAATCCCCCTCCTTTGCAGGTTGTTAATATATAGTTTATAACTTATATTTACTAACAAATTGTTGTTTAAATAACACATGGCAGAACATAACTGCTGTATGGTAGCTCTGATTTCTCACTCTCTTTACCAAACAAGTCCCATTTTAACCCCCGATTAGCACATGGCCCACTTGCTCTTACTGCAACTCGCTAGTATTTTTTACTTCTGTTGCAAAACATTAACAAGACTAATTCCAGCTTTGCTAGAAATCTGTCTTCTGAAAAATTAGCGGGATAAAGGGGATTGTACAGTAACATTCCTGTCTAGCTTTTTCTGGGCCATGTATAGAGGAAACAAAACAATACAGCTATACCAAAGAGAGATGGGGCCTAACCTGAATAACAGTCAACAGCAAACAGGAGCTCTCGTGACCTTAACTCTTTTAGAATCGTGAACAACTTACATTGCTCCTCACTCCCACAGAGCCCTTGTGCTATTGACAACCGCAGGGTAACATGTGCATTGTTCACCACACACAGCTTTTTAAAGAACTTGCTAGAATTACTCAGAACTTCCATTTTTTTTCCATTTCTTCACCCAATTTGTTTATTTTAGTCTCATATCCTCCCTGACTCAGAAAATATTCTACCTAAGTACTGCAGTAACTTTCACAAGTCCTGAATTGTATGTTTTTCCAGATAAAGTATGGACTAAAAACAG